CCCCTTGGCCGTACGCCTCTAATCAGAAGCAGGATTTCAATGCTCTGAGCCTATGATTGGGAGATACAAATCCTCGCCACTTGGCCGTACGCCTCTGATGTCTGTCAGCTGGCGGCTACTCAGTTTTTGATACATTCTCCACAGACGAGAGAAGATCTCAGTAAATAATGGTCAAATCCTCACCACTTGGCCGCACGCCTCTGATTTTTGTCAGCTGGCGGCTACTCAGTTCTTGATACATTCTCCACAGACGGGGGAAGATCTCCGTAAATAACGGTCAGCTGACATCCCGTCAACAGCAATACAATGAACTGCACATTCATGCCGTTTTTTCCATCACCCTTTTTAGTGTGTAAATTACCACATTTAAATTCTGGGAAATGAATGGAGAATATCTCCAATGGTTACTATTTTGATGTGTCAGTATTTGTGGAATCGTAACGGCCATAGCTGGTCAACAGAATCCCACATTAGAGTGCAACAAAAAGCATTGTTAGTGTGTAAGGAGAATAAATACTCTTTCCTGACACCAGCGAATAGTCATTTTAACCTTTGCCCAGTTCTGTCTCATTTTGCCAGATCGCCTCTTATATAGTGTGATTTCATTTTAATATGCCATATAACCTTTAAATCTACAGCACCTGAAGGTTTTGCCATTCCAACCATCACTATCCTGAGTCCCTCAGCCCTACGAGTCTCCTGGCAGTCTCCAGCCCAGCCCAACGGAGACATACTCAGGTACAAAGTCTATCGGGACGACACGGAGGTAGCCATGCTGCCAGCCACCACCTTCTCTCACATCCTGTCCGACCTACGGCCCTACACCATCTACAAGATACAGGTGAGCTGGTTGACTCATTCATCTAACTGGTTACTAAGGTCCAAGAGATGGCGCGAGGGGAGACCTTGGTCGGTCAGGGAAATCCTCACAATTCTCTTTCCGCTGTCATGTGTAGCAAGGTGGAGAGGTTGTGTCCAGTCCAAATTTTCAGATTGTCCATACTTTCCTTTGTGTTTGTGGGCATCGCAAGGGGTTTGCTGCCCCCCAAAAAAGAACCAAATTGCAAAAATAAAAAGGAAAAGCAAGAGGAAAACGTGGAAGTAATGATAGAAGAGATGACGAGCAATACATTAACCAATTTGCTTGAAAAAAACACAAAAATTCCCCCCCCCTTCTGTTAATGGTTTTTCAGTTTATTGCTGATGAACACCTACCTGGCCCTCGCCCCTTCCAGAAATTCTGTCGTCCTCCAGGAAGAATCCTGGCGAGGCCCATGTCGGTGACATGGATTGATAACTGTACTTCGAATTGTCTCTAAAAAGTTGATTAACTGTTCTTACAAGTGTGATGCAAAATCTTAGACATCCACAAATGTTTGCTATGGTTTTGGTGTTTTTTTCTACTGGTCAAGTTTCGGTACTGACTTTTAAAAACAAAGCACATCAAATGGGAAACTAGAAAATGGATTGTCTGGTGCTTAAAGTTGATTTTTTTCAAATCCTGGTGGTCGTGGTAATTGATGAAAGAAATCAAAATTGCTCATGTATGAGTTTTTTTGAGATTGATAGAAACTCAAATTATGTTTGCTTTCCAATCTACTCACCAAGCTCAATCATTCAAAAATGATCGGGTTTTGTCACTCAAGACACATACCTGCTTCTCCCGAAATATGTAATGCCCAGCCCGACTGATACACAGAAGCTGTCCATCGTGTACCGCAAATCACAAACCGCATATTTCCTTCTCCAGGTTGAAGTCTGCACCGTGTACGACTGCCTACTCAGTAACGCCACCTTGACCACCACCCAGGAGGCCCCCCCGACGGGTTTGACTCCTGCTAACCTGAGGGTTCTGGGATCGTCCGTCATTGACGTCAGCTGGGCAAGCCCAGCTCAGCCCAACGGCATCATCCTGCAGTATGAGGTGTACCGTAGGGCCTACAAGCCCTGTGACGAAGAGTAAGTCAGGACCTTTCCATCTGCACCCTTGGAGAGTCATGCATCGGAATGCAAAAAAACAGATTGATGTTACAAAAAAAGAAATGCCCCCCCCATCCCCCGACCGCCAGGGCTGCGACTCTTCCCAGGACAGTCCTAGCATCATCCATTGGTTGCCTTGGTTATGTTGCTGACCCAAAGGCTTTGCTTTTGGCTGTATTTACAGGTCAGGCCCAGTTACAGGATTAGACACCTGCTTCTATTTGGAGTGCAGTATCACAGAGAGCGTCTGTGGTGGTCAGTGCTACTCCGGCAATCAGGTATCATGCAGAACTGTTATTTTATCTTTGTCAGTCTGGTGATATGTAATCCAGTCCAGTAAATTTTATGAGGTAATGGCCAGTGGTCCAGTTGTCTTTTTTTCCACAAAATTCAACACTTGATGTAAGTTTTTCCTTGCCTTTGAGAACAGATTTGGATAGTCAAGTGTGTGGGTATGAGTACACACTACAAAATAGTTGAATGATTGACAATGGTCTTGGATAGCTGAATGCATACATTGGCTTTGTGCGGTTGCTAAGGACATATTTTTGTCATAGAGGCCATAGTAATCAGTGCCAACATAACGAGAGAGGGTAAAACTTGTACAAGTTTGATCCAGTTGTTTGACATAAAACTTTAAATTTCTGCGTTTGACCACAGGTCTGCTGTGCTGGGAGTCTCCACAACCAGCGACCCGCCTACGAGTGCTGCGGCACCAACTACCTCCCGGCCCGCGCCTCGTCCACGGACGTGTGCTGCGGCGGCCAGTTCCACTCTTACCAGGCCAACAGCCAGTGCTGCAGGGGCCAGTACGTCAGCGTGCCGGCCGGCCACATCTGCTGCTCGGACCCGAACGAGAACAGGGTGGTGGTGGGGGCAGGTGACGCCTGCTGCAGGGGAATACCCTACGACACCTCAGGACCACAGATATGCTGTGCAGGTAACATAGATTTTAGATATTGCTTTGGAGGATGCCCATCTCAGCTGTGTACTCTAAAGATCTTAATCCAGGGTGCCCTGCTATCAAAAAACGTGAAGTTCCTCGAAGTTTGATGAGTTCTTAACATGGTATCTTTTAACGTTTTTGGGTACAGTCGCCCCGAAGTTTGTGCCTGAAAGAGGTCACATGATGACACTTTTCTTGGTGATTAGAGGAAGCTTTAGGTTGATTCAGTCAGCAACAGATCTCAATTGGACTGGTTTATTCGGTCCTTGCCCAGTGTAATGTCGACTCACACATGTGCTGGACTTGATTGAGCTAGTGTGCTTAGTATTCAAATGGAATTGACTGACTTATCATTGGAAGAATAAAGCTAAGTTCCAATATGAAGTAATTTGTCATTCTCAAGAGGAACGTGCATAGAAATGATTCCAGCTTTTGCCCCTTTAGGTTCTTTCTATGACAAGACGCAAGGACTGTGCTGCCAGATGACTTTTGTACCCTTTACTGGTAACATTTTTTTGAGTGTGATGACGTCTCTTTTTCTTGCTGAATCAGTTCATCTGTTTTGTCACTCGGCCTACCTTTATTTGTATTGGTGGTTGGTTGTTGGTGTGGTTTTCAATAGCACCTGTAGCAGACTGTGCAAATGTCCTTGCCAATCAGTTGATTGTTACCGTTGTACCAGGAGATGGGGTTAACGGGGCTTAACTTTTGAGTTTGTGGTGATAGTACTTCAGTTCGTCCTTGTAAAAGGTGAATTTGTGAAAGACACTCAAAACTGAAAACTAAAGATAACATTTCAGAAACTCAAAACGGGTCCTGCTGGATGAAGTGTCATTATTATGCCTTGCTCTGGCAAAATTCCTTCATGGTCTGTGGAAATATGACAGATGGTTATACAGTCATATTAACAGGGGACAAGGGACAAACAGTTCAAACAGAGTGATGCTTCATTCCTTGGCGTGGAGTCCTTGTCTGTTGTTAAGAGTAGTATCTGTTCGCTTTTGTTTGCACTTGGCTGCTGTTTTCAGAGCACCCGTCTATTCTTTTCCAATGCATATTCTTTTGTATTTCTTACTGATTTATTCAATTTATTTATGCACTGTTATCCTAACAAACATTGAAGTCATTTGCCTCTGAATTCAACATCTCTTGTATTCCTGTGCCTACTTTTCTATGATTTCCCCTTTTTTTTCCTTCACTGCTTCAGCTGTCCAGTTTGCTGTGCTGGAATTGCTCAGATGATTACCCTCTGGGTCAAATCAGATCGGAATGATTGGGTCCAAAATATTCAAATTAAATACCGAACTTGCTCGTTGTTATTATGCAGATTTATTGAGAGTATAAAATGTGGATTGGGGTTACCAGCATGGCAGATGGGATGTGTTTGGTATAATTCTTCCTCGGAATCATCTTAAAGCCAGATTGTTCTTCGCAGTTTATAAGTTGATTCCGAGTTCTATTTGGTGGTGGATTTACATGTAACTTTCATGTCTGTCTTTGTTCAACATTGGCACAAATTCTGTACCCCAAGAAGTTCACCCATGAAACTCAGTGTTGTGGTTGAGTACATTACAAATCTTCTTACAAGACCAATCGTAAGTAACAGGGTCAACAATAACATGGGAATGCTTATGTCACAGATTGTATGCATTGCTTGTGATTTGACTTGCAGGGACTGTAATGGACTTAACCACAACACGGATGACAAGCTCAACTATGAAGATGGGAATGTTTTCCTCAGTTGTGCCTCCAGTCTCAATGAGTTTCTGTTTATAAAGTCTTTTTCTTTTATGGAGGAGTTTTGTACTCACAACTGGGCTTTCAGTCTTGAACAACTTGAAATAAATTCATTCACAAACTCCCCAAGCTGTTTGTACCCATTCAGTGAAGTGGCATTAAAAATTGTACGTTCAGCTCTAAATCTTGATGTGCATGGACCAGTATTAAAGCCAGGCATCAGTGAATTTGGCTGTCATTAATACTGCCCTCTATGGCTCATGGTCAGAGCCTATAGAAGGAGGTTTTATGGATGTAATTTCATCCCACTGTTAGATCTGTATGAAAAAGAAACTGTTTTCCAGCTTCCAGAATTGTCCACCTATCCTGAAAGGTTGAAGTAGCTGCATTCTAGCCACTCAACCAGCTACCTCTTCAAAACTTGATTACCTCCCTCTATGCAGATACTTTCCAAGATGGCTTCAACAGCCAGTGCTGCGGCACCTCTGTGATCGGCACGGACCAGGTGTGTTGCCAAGAGAATGACCTCACCATGACCTATAACCCCGAACCCAACAAGGTTTGCTGCGGCGTTGATTACGTCGACCCAGCCGTCACACTGTGCTGCTCGTCGGAAACTGGCGTCGTCAAGGTGAATGGAACGAAAGATTATCTTTTACGTGTCATTCTCTGTATGTAGTGAAAGCCCTCGTAGTAATAATTTCGATGAATCGTGGCAAATACTTGTGGAGTACTTGTGAGCATTTGAACTGATGTTGGGTCTTGTGGTTATGTAATGTGAAATTCTGCTGACATTGCTTCTTCCTCTGCCTAGCCAGGGGATTAAAGCAAGACTCCTAACTTTAATTGCATCTCTCCGCACAACAGTACATGAATAAATGAGGAGGGAGTTGGTGAAATAGTTGGCCAGTCGGCCACGTAGTTGACTCTGAAGTCCCACCCAATCAGTCAACGTGAAAACTGTACTTGGACAAGTCATACGCATCTGCCATGCTTGGTGTGCCAACACGTGGCTCGTGTAAAGGGATTTTTGATTGGACTTTGCTCTTGTATCTTTTTCTCAGGCGCATTCTTACCCCACGCCACAAGCCAAGCAGTTGGCCAATGACCAGTGCTGTGGCGCCGAGAAGATCAGCCCCTCCCAGGCTTGCTGTAACAGCATGGGCTACAACCCCCTGACGCACGTATGTGCAGACAGGGGCACAAACGTGGAGGGGAACTGCGGTGGGGGCACAGTGTGTCCTATCAGCCAGGCCGCGACTGCCTACTGTAATAAGTGAGTGATGGCGTGAAACTTTACGTCCATCGATTTTGATCAGGCAAAGTATTTATTTTTCTGGTTTTTTTTGAGGAGGAGTTGGGAGGGAAAAGAGTTTTTAAAATGTATAAGCTTTTCTCCGGGAGGCTTTTGTTTTAATTTCTTTGGAAAAGAATATTTTTGGGGGTAAATAATGTTTTCGTAAAGATGTCACAGGACATTAGTTTGGTAACTTTTTTGCAGTATGTTAATTGGTTAAATGCTTTGGCTTCTGGATCTTCTTTTTAAAGATAGGAGCATACACGAGTCTACTCACCCGAACTAAAAACTTCAGTTGAATGACCATCCATTTCAAAACTCTCACAGTATTGTAGAGTCTTGCATTCTGAAAGGTTTTAGAGTCATTTGTTACTGTTTGATCAGTTGAAAATATCTGTGTTGTCATTTCAGGTGTGACTTTGACAGGAACACCCGCGTGTGTGCCACAGTTGATGGTCAGTACAGGCCCTCTCCCCCACCCCCCACTGGCACCACCCCTGGGGATGGAGGCCTCTGCATGACTGCCCTGGACAGTGTGGCCGTCACAGGGCCCAACACCTACTCCTATTTGGGTAAGTTCAGTAAATCGTGAAAGCAGTGCAGATGGCTGGAAAGGGCCACCCACAACTGGATTAATTCACAAGAAATGTGAAGTTTTTAAGTGACAACCAATTTTGTGTCCAGAGTTCATGATTAGATCAGTTTCAGCCTTCCCTGGTGTATATTTGAAAGTGCTGTCAGAGAGCTTGTTGAGAAATTGTCAAGTTTACTTGGTTGGGACCGGAGCCTACCATCTCCTGCTTGCTACTGCAGACACCTTACCACACAGCCACCTAGCTTGTCGGGGTAGGCTGGCCAGGTTGAGTCACATGAGCCCTGCAAGTTAACATTTGAGATGTCATGAAACATTTGCCATTTTTTGGTAAACCTCATTTGATCTGGATGAAAGGAGATCACATGAGGTTTTAATTGGTGAAGTTATGGCCTTGGTACTTACGGGTTGTGAGCCCAGTGCTTCTCCACAGTATTGACAGAAAAACGTTACAAAGTATACACAGATAAGACTGGAACTTGTACATGGGCATTGCCAGGAAGGGGGCGTAGCTCTTTCCAAAGGGGAGGGACGTAGTGCTCAAAAGTAGCAGCCTGACAAACCATTAACAGTGGGTTAATCCGAAGCATTTTAAAGAAACCGGCAATTTGTATCCGCTGGTTTTAATCTTTCCCTTTTGTGTGTTTTAAAGTTTTCTGTGTACCTACGCCCTCTTGTTGACACATGCTGACCCTTTTATGATAATCACAATCGCTTTATTTTCAGATGGTGTCCATTTCATCTAAAACGATGTCTTTACTGCATCTCAATAATGGAATTCTTCTTGATTTACCTACAGATGAAGATCTGTTGCCATACACAACCTATGAGTACGCCATCACGGCTCACAATAGTGTCGGTAGCGCCACCAGCGAGTTCAGCAGCGCTCGGACCAATGAAGATATCCCCAAAGGGGTGGCTCCCCCCGACTGGCGAGTAGGAGTTGGGGTGCTGGATACGATCATTTTGAGCTGGAAGCAGCCAGCTTTCCCAAATGGTAAACAAAACCAATGCTCACAAATTGAGATATTTTTTTTCATTTTGAGAATGTACGTGGGAAAAAAATTTAAGAATGCAACTAGAACAATTTTCAAGATGTATTTTTTTTGCGTTGGGGAGATGTTAATTTATAGAACAGGTTTTTGCCCTTACCCAACGTATTTTAATACATCTTGAAAATAGTTCGCGGTACCCGCTGCTTCACTTGACTCGGACCGGCCAGCCGACCCCAGCGAGCTCGTTGGTCGAGTGGTTAAGACATCTGCACTAGTTGGCAGGAGGTCGTAGGTTCGAGTCTCAACCCGAGTAAGCTTGTGAGGTTTTTTCGCAAGCTCTCGGACAAGCACTGAGCATACAGTGCTTATTAATATACGTTGGGTAAGGGCAAAACCCGTTATATAAATTAACATCTCCCAATGCAAAAATACATCTTGAAAATGATTTGCAGTGATCTTCTTGGCAACCGCATGTTTTTTTTGCAAGATTTCTTCAGTTGATTTGATATTGTCCTGGAAATTGTTTTGTCAATTGATAAGATCCAGACGCGTTGCTTGACTTTTATCTGTGCTGACTCTAAAACCGTCCGCCATTTTATCACAGGTGTCATCACTACCTACATCCTGCGGCGCGACAACATTGAGATCTACCGCGGCCTGGACACGTCGCTGGAAGACAGCCGCGGCATCCAGCCATACCAGCACTATACCTACGTGCTTGGGGCCTGCACCAGTGTCGGATGCGCCAACAGCGAGGCAGTAAGTCACAGACAGCAAGCAATGGTGCACTTGGTTTAGACTATCCCACATCTGATTGGGACTGGTATAGTGGGGTTGAGTGGGGGCAAGCTTTTGGATTTGCATCACAGGATAAAGTCAAGATCTGTTTTGCCAAATAGTTCAATTTTACATTGTGGACTTTGTGGGTTTCCTTGTTTTGATACATGAGAAGTTTAGGTGGAGTTTTATGTGTGAGTTACAAGGGATATGTGCTTGGTAGGCTTTGAACTGATGAGTGATTGCCAAATGTACGCGAATAAGAAACGCCAACGCTGTAGAATAGTAGCATCTTATGTTCTAGACCCCTTCTCTTCGCAACATTTGATACTCTGAGATTTTTAAACGTTAAGATTTTGATAAAAACTTGTACCTCACCAAGGTTCACTGCTCCCCTTTGTTTGACCAGGTGATTACGGCTACCTTACAAGATGCACCAGCTAACCTCTTTGATCCCGCAGTCACCTCACTCGATGCCAACACCATCCAGATCACGTGGCGTGAGCCCGGCAGGCCCAATGGCGTCATTCAAGAATACAGAATAAGAGAGAGCAATGCAGCAGACCCAATCTATGTGGGGGATGCAACCGTTTTTGAGTATGTCCACAGAGGTAAGCATACGCATCCGTGTTTTCAGTCTTTGACACAGAAAGGCTGAAACTGCCAGTATGATTACAGGGGTTTGAATTTTCTCAGCATTTCAGGATTTTCAACCCCAAAATTGTAAGAGACTTCATCCCATGTCATCTGTTAAAATCCTGAAAAGTCAGAGGTTATTGCTTCTTTGTCACAACCGCCTTGCCCAATGGTTTTTGAATTTCTCTTCACCCCTCGTTTTTCACCCAAATAAAGCCAGACCCGTGAATTCAAAAGGCTTTCATTATCATCCACGCCATCGACACCAAGTTCATCACTCTAAACATGGGCAATTAGGAATGGAAATGAAATTAGTGTGGCATGAAGCAGGGTGTAGATCTGCTTGACCACTGGGATGATGAATTAAAAGTGACTTTGGTGTTCTTTTCCTTAACCCTCATTTATCCTCTACAGTTGTGAATAGGGGATTAGAGAGAAGACCACCCAAGCTTCCATTAATTCCCCACCATCCCAGTCTACAGACAGATTTGAACCATAATCAAGTCATGAAACTGCACAGTGCATCTGATTTTTCTTGTCTCATTCTCTCATTTTTACTCAGGTTTGCAGCCCTACACAAGTTACCAGTACACCCTGGTTGCATGCACCGCCGCTGGCTGCACGTCTAGCAACCCTGTCAGCATCACCACGCCGGAGGCACCCCCACAAGGTGAGAAAAGGGCCGGCCACATCGCGTGAATGTCGTCTATGTTGTGTGTTTAGAAGTAAAACAGTTGAACAAAGTCGTCAGACATTTTGAAGTTTGAAAACGTGTTTTGGCTTTGTGACTAAAATAACATTTATAAATGGGAGTAAATATGTGTTTGAATGGTCCTCAACATTTGTTCAAGACCGAATCAGGAGAGTTGAGGCTGATCATGTCCGAGCCTTGTTAATAGGCCCTTTGGTAATGCCCGTGCTGCATTGTTCTGTACCCACCAGCATTGAGAGTAAACTCAAGCGATACTTGAGTAGCCTTTAACTCGAAAGTGGATGGCTTGTTACTTAGGGATGATAGACTTGGCTACAAGTCGTTTTCAATTTGGGGATGATGTGATTGGCATGCGCAGTGTATTTTGACAACTTGTTTTTTCTCACAAATACCACAAAGAAATTGACTCCTTGCCAGTAGTGATCTCTAGGAATAATTAACCGTGATGTTTTGATGGTGAAAACTTTGCATGCCCCAATGACCACGTGTATGTGCAAAAACGTGAAGTTCAGATGTTAGACTTATTTTGGTTTGATTTGCAGGTGTGTCCAGTCCAGTCCATGTTGTTATCAGTGCCACCATGCTTGAGTTGTACTGGTCCCCACCAACCACTCCCAATGGCATCATCACATCCTACCAGCTCTACCGCTTCAACCAACTCGTCTACTCTGGTGGTAACTCTGGTCTGATGTTCACCGACACCAACCTCACCCCCAACACCCGCTATGAGTACACGCTCCGAGCGTCCACATCTGCTGGCGGTACAAACAGCTCTGTCTATGCCTGCCAGACTCCCGAGAGCTCTCCCGAAGGAATCCCGACCCCTAGTCTCACCGTGCTGAGCTCTTCTTCCATCAGGGCTACCTGGCAAGCACCGGTCACCCCCAATGGAGTCATCCGACGCTACGGCGCGGTCATACTCAGTGGTACTCCGGAGCAGAGACCATATTTCAGTGGTTTAGCTACATCCCTAGTCATCAGTAACTTGACCCCCTTCAGGCTTTACGACATCCGAGTTGAGGCGTGCAACGACGGTGGGTGTGGACACGGACCCAAGGCATTTGCCCGCACCTTTGAGGCCCCACCCCAGGGGCAGGGACCACCGACGCTAGTCGCAAGTGGAGCCACCGTCGTGGAGGTGTCCTGGGACCCTCCCACGTACCCCAACGGCAACATCACCAGGTACATGGTGCACCGACGGCAATACGGTACCAATCAGCTCTACTTGGTTTACCAAGGCGGGGCATCTCAGACAAGCTTCGTCAATGCGGGAGGTGGACTCTCCCCATTCACTTTGTTTGAGTACAGAGTCACCGTGTACAACTCAGAAGGGATGGACGAGGGCCCCTGGGCCAATGTACGCACCTTGGAGGCCCCTCCACAAGGAGTAGCCCAGCCAGAGCTCGTGGCCATCAGCTCCTATGCCATCCAGGCCAGCTGGGGGTTGACTGCCTTCCCCAACGGACTCATCACAGCCTACAGACTGGAGTACCAGGAGATATCCAACGATCCCACCCTACCCAACCCAGTTGTTCCTGCCGCGACTGTCGAGGGGAGTCTCTTCCAGACCACCTTCTACGGCCTGTCACCATTCACGTCCTACCAGGTGCGCATCGTCGCCATCAATGGGGCTGGTGAGACAGCCGGGCCATGGGGTCAAGTTACAACCCAGGAAGGAGTACCGGCAGAGATTGGGCAGTTCACGGTGGTACAACAGTCGGACGGCCGGTCACTGGTGCTGCGCTGGCCAGAGCCTGGACAACCCAACGGACACATCCGCGAGTACCGCATCTATGAAGATGTTTACCTGATCACGCCCATCTACATCGGACTGACACGGGAGTACCTATTCCGACGCTTGGAGCCGTACACAGAATACGTCGTCGTCTTGGAGGCCTGCACGAGTATCGGTTGTGGGAGGGGGGAGCCACAGAGTGTTGTAACAGCCGAGGTGGCTCCTGAAAATCAAGCTCCGCCCACTCTGGGGGAAGTCACTTCTACATCGGTGCAGCTAATCTGGAGCCCGCCAGTCAGTGCCAATGGTAGAATTTTGCGGTATGACATTGTGCGACGTACAGCAACGTCCAGCAGGCGTAGACGTGACACAGATTCCAGCCTGTTCACTGACACGCGGGTTGTCCACCAGGAATACAACACCCAAGCCACGCAGTACAACTTCACCGACTTCTCCCTTCAGCCACACAAGCTCTACGAGTATCGCGTCATGGTGGTGAACTCCATCGGCCAAGCCCAAAGTCCCTGGGTGTCGGTCCGGACTGAACAGGCTCCCCCAGTGGGTCTGTTATCCCCCGTGGTCTCACACGTGGCGAACGACCCCACCACCTTGCAGATCCAGTGGTCCGCACCCTCTCAGGCCAACGGGGTCCTCACAAGGTACTTGCTGAGAAGGAACGAAAGTGCCCCGTTCAGCTTTGAGACACCATTCAGTTTTGAGCACACAGACCAAGGCTTGGTTGCCTACACGGTGTATGCTTACACCATCACAGCATGCACAGATGGGGGCTGCACCGAGAGTGATCCCACGTATGTACGGACTCTGGAAACAGCTCCAGGTAATGTAGCCCCTCCAGTGGCTGCCCCTATCAGCTCCTCATCCATCCACGTCAGCTGGACGAGCCCATCTCTGGATGCTGGTGAGATCATACGCTACGAGTTGAAAATAGATGGGGCTGTGACGTACTCTGGTTCCGGTCTGGAGCATACTGCCACGGCACTGATTCCGTATCGGGAGTACTCTTTCACAGTTGCTGCCTGCACGATTGGGGGTTGCACCGAGAGCCTGCCGACACTGAGCAGACCCTTTGAAGCCCCACCTGTTGGTATGAACTCGCCCGTCTTGCGAGCCCTGAGTGCCATTGCCGTCGAGGCATCTTGGACTGAGCCAGACATGCCCAATGGCTTAATCCTTCGTTACGAGCTGCGCAGGGACGGGAAACTGGTGTACGACGGTGCAGCCATGAGGTTCCAGGACTTTGGTGACGGGGGTCGCGGATTGACTCCGGGACAGGAGTACTCTTACGTGGTGACGGCTTTCAACAGCCAGGGGCAAGCCATCAGTGACCCAGCCACCGTCCTGACCTCGTCTTCCTCACCAGCTGGTCTAAACTCTCCTGAGCTCACAGTTCTCACCTCCTCATCGATCCGAGCAACTTGGTTACCCCCGATCTACCCAAATGGAGAGATCCAGAACTACACCCTGTACGTGGAAGGTAACATCATTTACTCCGGGAAGCAGTTCAGCTTTGACGTCCAAAACCTTGATTTCTTCACCGAGTACGAGTTCCGCATTGGGGCCTGCACCTCCACCGGGTGTGCCCTGAGTGACCGCGCCCATGCCCGCACCTTGGAAAATGCCCCCACCAGCCAGCTGGCCCCAACCCTCACGCCCCTCACCGACAACCTGGGCGTGGCCAGCGGTGTGTTGGCCGAGTGGGGCCTACCGCAGAATCCTAATGGCCGGATCCTTGACTACAAGCTGTACCGCCGGCGATTCTACCGGCAGACCAACACCCGCGATGACCCATTGTTGATTTACGAGGGTCCCAACACCAGGTACACGGATGGGGATTCCACGCTGATTCCAGACAAGACATACGAGTACATGGTGACCTCCAGGAACTCGGTGGGAGAGACGTCAAGCTCTTGGGCAGTGGTTAGAATGCTGGAAGCTCCCCCAGATGTGAGTCAACAATCCAACTTGAATAGACCTAATTCACAGGGGAGCCATTCTTGATCATGTTCCCAGAATCTCAGCTATTTACTGTAATCTGTAAAATGGAGTGGTGGCAGACTGTTTTGGGGTCCATGCCTTGCTTACTTTTTTTTTTGAAATGTGGTTAATACATTTTGATAGAATTAATCACAAATATCATATTAGTCATCAGCATAAATTGCATTAATTTACAGCAAACTTTTATTCATTGCTTTCATTTTATTCTCAGGTTCCCAAAATAAACAAAATTTACCTCACTAATAATTCAGTAAGGCTGACTTGTGAAAATGCCAATTTCATCAACTAGCTCTGAATATCCATTGAAATGCCTTCTCATAAACTGATTTCACTAACTCTTCAATCCATGGCAAGTCAGTTTATTAGCCAAGATAATCAGGTATCAAAGGCTTGTGGCGCTGTTCAAAGTGACTAGGACTTACAGTATCTGAAAGAAGGAGCACTCTTCATGTTGGCTTTTTAGACAGCAGTTACTTGACTGCTAAGAAAATGAAGACTAGACCACATATCCCTCAAGCAACACCCCTGATTGTATGACTCTTTAATATTTGGCTGTTTTCCTCTTTGTAGGGCTTACAACCACCCCAGTTAACGGATGTTGGAGCCACCAGCCTGACTGTCAACATTCTTGCTCCCAGTCAGCCCAATGGCGATATCTTGAGTTACACCATCATCAGGAATGGAACAGAGGTGTGAAACTTATGTGGTTATCAGAGGAAGCTTTTAATCATCAAGAATCAAAAGTGTGTTCTGCTCAGGAATTTTTGGAGGTTTATACTGGAAAGCTGCTATTTATAATCAAACTGGCCAGAGCATTTGTTGGTAACTTTAACAACATTTTTTTAAAAATTCCATGAATGTTCCTTTGCTTGGGAATTGTCTTATTCTTAGTTTATACTTTTACACTGGCATTTTCATGGAAGGTTCAGACAGCCCTGTCTGAAACTATCCAGTTCTCTTTTTTCGAATGATCTCTGACAGCTCTGTACAAACTTTCCTCACCAACCAATAGTGGTACAAGGAAATAAACTAAGAATATAAAAGCATTTTATATTTGAACACTGCAGAATGTCAAAGGCATCATTGAGCATGAGTTGTTTTAACCATTTACCCAATCGTAACGATCAGTGATTAATTTCAGAGGGCCTGATGTTCTGATCTTTCACAGAATGATTCTTCTAGGATCAAAACATCAAGCCCTCCAACTTTTTCAATTTGCCTGCAGCAGCTTGCAGCAGTTTTCGAATTTTACCTAACTGGCACTTTTCACTTCCCCTCCCTCCCTCAACAGCTGATCATCACCACACTGACCAGCTATCCCGACGGCCAGCTCCAGCCCTACACCGTCTATGCCTACTCAGTCAAGGCCTGCACGGCTGGGGGATGCACCACCAGTGAGCAGGCCACCATACAGACCAGCCAGGCCTTGCCCAGTGGCCTTGCCCCACCCACGGTCAGTGAAGTGGGCACGACGTGGGCCCACGTGGGTTGGGCGCTGCCCGCTGAGACCAACGGGATCATTGTAAGGTCAGTGTCGGGATAGGGTCGCGTCAGTTTCTTGCATTTGTCTGTAGTTTTTACTGCCACAGAGGTGCAGTCGGATCTCCTTTCCGATCCCATTAAAAAGATTGACTGAAATAAAGGATTGCTTGGCTTAGTGCGTGAACAAGAGAGGGCCTGCTTTTACCCAGCAATGGCATCCTGTTGGCTGCATGGAGAATGCATGACAGATTTCTGTCGAATGTACAATCTTTGCAACAGCGCAGCGTAGGAAGCACTCATTCGAAACAGTCCTTACCCTTAATGAGGGCTTACCTCTACACAGGGCCAATCAAAGGATTTCAGTGGGATTTGTGATAAGTGGTGTCCTGAAAATTCCAAATAGTCACAAAGAGATTAAAAGAGTCAAGAGAGTCAACTCGTTGGTCTTTCAATTAGCCAATAATCTCATCTTTGAAAAGTTGTAACGTTGCAGTGGCAGTGATTTGTAAGGAGAATTTGAATTCCTCTTTCCAAATCCACAAATGATTTACAGAAACATACTGTGTATGTTCGGCTGTCATTTGTAGGAAGCTTTTCTTTAAAAAAATGCGTTGTTAATAATCAGCGGTGTGCATGTATTTATTTATGGATTAGAATTCTTGAAGTCTGCCCACTTTTACTTGGCTTAGGTTTGACTGATTTCATCCTGTGCTGTAATTGCATTGTTCCATGCTGGATTTTTAAACCTTACTGATCGAAAGAAGTATTTGTGAAAAATGCAGATACGAGCTTCACATGAGGGCGTCGTGCCCACCTACTAGCCAGCCCTTCACCCAGACCTGCACAGAAGCAGGGTACCAGACCCTAGACAAGGCCCTGCTGCTGTCTCACAATGCCACAGGGCTGCAGCCCTACACCAACTATGAGTTCATGGTGAAGGCGTACAACACGGAGGGACCGGTGCAGTCGCCGCCGACCGTGCAGGCTACCCTCGGCGCAGGTATGTTGGATTGATGGATACGATGAGTTTCATGCAAGTGGTTCCTGCAGTACCTAGTTATGAAACAAGGCTTGTGTGACACTCTCAAGTTAAAGGATTGTTCTCATCAATTATTTATTTACTGCTTCCAACTGTAAAAGAACGGAGACGTGATAAATGTCATTAATAGGACGTCGCAGGAAAATGAAGAATGAGCTAGTGCCCGAAATCGAAAGTTGGGGGCGCTAGTCTAATTTGAATATGAGTGACAATTGTAAGTTAAAGACAGATAAGGTTGTACCAAAATAAACGGGGGTGTCTGTTTTTTATAACCGACACACTTGTAACAATGTCAGCAAAGACTAGAATATTCCTGGATTTTTTTCCCCTTTGTTGGGGTTGCAGCTCCAGAATACATTCCTGAAATCAAGCCAGCCATCTTGACCAATGCCACCAGCATGCTGATTAGCGTCAGCTGGGTGGGTAGCTTCCGACTCAACAGCATGCTGACAGAGTACCAGCTGACGGAGAATGGGGACGTGGTGTACAGCGGCACTGCCACTGGTGTCAAGCGACCGCTCAAAGCACAGAGTATGTACATCATCGCTGCTAACTCGACGGCAGAAAATGTTCGCTCAGCAAAATCTGGTTACCAGCTGAGATACCATGGGATGCAGGTCACCAGCCGCTGGTTCTCTGCTGAAGTTTGTTTACCATGTACACTTGCATAGCAGTATTTGCCATCGAACAGATTCACGTATTGGGACCGGCTTGCTCAGCTAGTTGTTTAATGTGATTATGTGAGCCAACAACACATTGGACAGTTCCCGCTTACTTTAACTGGCTTTCTTGTCAAAGTTGCTTCTTAGTAGGATTTTCCCAGTAGTTCCAACAATTCTCAGCAAACAGCTGTAAATCACCTGCCCAGATTAATGGGAAGGGTTTGGGGTGTCTGCGTCCACAAAGTCTACAGTCAGTTTTATTCACACCTATGCGTGCTTGTGCTAAGGGCTTTATAACAGACCAACAATGGTATTTTGCAAACTAGTATTGTTTCTGAGACTTTGCTGTGGATTTTTCCCTACCACAGAATACGAGTGGACGGTGATGTGTAGGACCACCGTAGGATCTGTGTCCTACCCAACCATTATCTATCAACCTCCAGGTAGGTGGTAAAGCAAGGGTCTGGGTTTTGAAGAAATGTCAGATGAGAGCTGAATCTTACAGAGTGAATCTCCAAATACTGTATCAATTGTCTCCCCCCGCCAACTTTCATTTGTTAAAAAACTGTCTTAAGTAACCAAAAATTGTCTCAGATCACACCACAAAAGACCTATACTCCAAAAGTTTGGGTCCTGGACCCCAGGCCGCTTATGGCTTCATGCTTCGTGCTAGCATTGGTTCTGATCAGGGCTATGTCCCCCCCCCACTTTCAAAACGGATTGACGTCCTTTTCTGATCCTAAAATTTCATCAAAAAACACCTCAGCCCACCAAAAAAAAAAAAAAGCCAGCTGTTGAGCTTTCCCCATCCCTTATTTCCTGTCAGATTCCCCTGGCGCGACCCAAGAGCCCCTGGTGGCATGGTACACCTCGCCCTGGTTCATCGCTCTCATAGTCCTGGTAGGCGTGGTCATCCTCTTCATCCTGATTGGGGTCCTTCTGAGCCGGACGGGCCCACTCAAGCCCTATGAGAGGGAGCGCCGGCCCCTGCCCCCACGGCAGAGGCGCGGCAACTTCACCTTCAACACCTGCGGCAAGTTCTCGGAGACGGAGAGCATCCTGGTGAGTGGAAGCTTCTGTCCTTAAGCAAGCCAGTTTACCCACATGCACCACTCAGCATTATCATACGGGAAACTGCAGTGAACTAGTATTCCATCCGTGCCAAATCAGAAATGCTCTTTATCATTTTATAGCAAGTAAATGAAGGATAAAACCCTGCACAGTTGGGTAATTTTGATCCTAGGATAATTTAGGTATTATATCCCATCCAACTTGCTGTGCAGAGCGAAGCATGTTGGGCACATGCACAAACCTGTCAAAAGTGAACAATTTAGTATGACTTCGGGCAGCTATTTGCATATCAGGATTTATATTCCATACCAGTGAGTCATCAAAACTACCTGCAAACCAAGCAAAACATATGTGCATATGTGTTGCAACTGAATTTGGGCACAGTTTTTGAATGCATCATGAGCATAGCCAAATACTGGCACATTGTCCGTGCTTGCTGCTCTTGGGTGTTGCATCGGTGACCCATTATTCAAAACTTAAACATCTAATCTTACGTTTCACGAATACACATAAATTCAAAATATCTGTGCTTGGGATGGTTTCAAAGAATCACGCTTGGAAAATGAGCAGTTGGCATTCTTGTAAATTTATCTAGCTCAACGGGACCATTCCAAAGTTGAATAAGCTTCAATGCAGGTAACATATTGTAATACATATTCAGTAACTGCGTTTAAGACCGATTGTCGGTTTCACTGTTCTTGAATATTCTTTCAAACTCAATAAGTATCTGCATACACTGATTTGGCCCTGGGTTTAATTTAAGATCTCCCCTCATCCCACGGCATTTAATCAGTTTCATCATCTCTCTTGCTTAGGACCCCATCCCACAGGCCATCAGCCGCTCGGCCAGCATGCACAGTCTGCGCAATGCCTACACCAACCCCACCTTCCTGGACCCCGGTACCCAACCGGCCAGCTACAGCCGCGGCACCACCCCGGAGAAGCTCAAGCAGCTGGACGACTCGGTGTGGGACAGCCGGGTCCTGCTGCCCAAGCCTGACAGTGGCATGGTTAGTATGACCGATGTAAGTACCCTCCCCCCCCTCATCTTGGCATTGACAGGTTTGGTTGGAGTGCTCATCGAGGGTGGCATTTCTCTTTCTAGCCGTCTCTATCCTGTCCCTTTTTCCTGTGGGTTATAATGGATGAGCTTCCTGTAGCCGCCTTCAACTTGTATCTCCTCTCTGGCACTTTGCTAGACCTGGCATTCAGTCTTTTCAAGCATGGAGTCTTGTATAGCTCCTGTAATTATGCTTTGACCAAGAGAGGGCGCTTTGCCACCCACTCCCTCTTTCCAGCTGATACACTACTTGACTTGTATGCAGTCAGTTGCATGTGGTACAGTGACGGCATGATGAATTTTCCTTGGAATGTACACAAACCTGGGAGCATTTTGCGCGGGCATTGTGCATGTGTGCAGTGGTGTCCAGGTTGTTGCCTTGTCAATGTCTTTGCCACTGGTGAAGGGGGGGTACTTGTCTGTCTAACATTTCTCTTCTTTGCATTATACCTCTTCCCACTTGTTGTCCCTTATGATTTTTTCCAGCACTGAACTAGTAACAAGTGTAGAATTTTTTAAGGCCTGTCCATTCTGTAGTTCCTTTGTGCCAATTACCGAGAGCCGACATCATGCAGTGCCTGCCACACCGTGCTTTCTATCAGTAGCCAAGTTTGATTCTTACCCTAGGAAGAGTGTGTATTATTTTCTTCATCCCTGTTTTGGTGGTCTGTAAGTTTCAAAGGCTCATCGTGTCTAATCATGGTCTGTATTTTCGTGTCCATCTCTGCCTGTTGTTTCTTGGTGTTTCAAGGTTTGCCTATCCTTGTGTAGATGGATTTAAATCTTTTGCCTGGGTTACACATTTCCACAGACCACAATGTGCAGTTTAGGGGAGTGTGTAGCCCTTATGGTAAAAGTTTGTGACTCCGGATCACCGAGTCAGGGGTTTGAATCCATCTGCTGGCCAACTGATGTGTCCCTAAGCAAGCCATTTTATACCTACATGAACTAGCCTTCATCCAGCAAGGAGCGTGAACGGTGCACCCTGCGCTCAGGGCTGGCTTTGGAACCGCATACTGAATGCTTACTGAAATTCAGGAACGGTGGATTAAAAGTTCAGTGGTTTCTTGAAGGATGAATCTCCAGGAATCCGGTCGGAACACTTTGCATCACAGGTGTAAAAACTGCATCCTCTCCCTGTCTCTTGACCATTCAGGGTTTCGAGGAGGACACAATGACACACATCAGCCAGCCATACAGCTACACCAAGGAACAGACCATGTTTACCGACACGCATCTATGAGCGAGGTTGGACTCTCCAGGTTTGAGGACTCTGAGAACTAGATGAAACTGGCAGTGATAGATGCGGCAAAACTTCATTGTCATGAAGTGAATGATTCCTGTCACTGCTGTGAGGACTTTACGTAAAATCTTATGCATTGCCTTCAGCAGATTTATGCTCTTTTTATTAAATGAAAGTCAGGTTTCTGAATGCCTTCACAGTGACTATTTTTTATGGTCTTAATTCTGTTTTGTAAATGTTTTTGTACATTTCTGTGCTGGCATTATCTCTATTTTTAATGCATTTTTAAGATGAATTATCACTCGAGGAATGGGATACAAACTCTCAGCAATAGTAACAATAATAGGGCATTTGTACGGTGCCTTATTTAAAACGTCTCAAAGTGCCTCACTAAAAAGCTATAAAACTTAAGTAATAAGGATTCCTAGAACCAACTACTGTATCAAAATACGTATAATGTAACACGGACCAACACGTCAAGAGCAGTAGAAGAACATAAGCATTGGTCAAAAGTAAATAAAACTAGAAAGTAAGTACAAAAGGGAGGCTAGAGTCAGTTCAGGCTCAGGAACTACTAGCAGCAACTGCAAGTCAAAATGGAAGACTTACACACCAAGTGACAAAATACGACTGGATTTATAAAACAGACCATGGACTGTGGGAGGCACTCGAAAATACATGACATAAAGTGGCTAACTTAATTGGACAAAAAGTGTCTTAAAGACAGATTTACATCTGTCCGGTGATTCTGCTAGACAGAGCTCAGTTGGCAGGTAATTCCATTCACGTGAAAGAACCGAATTCTTGTTGGTTATGTGGTGTTGGCATTTCAGATTTTTATATAAGAAGTTTAATGCATAACTTTTAATACGGCAGTCTCCTGTACTTAAATTGTTTAGTTTTAAAACATACTACAAATCATGGGGTCTTTCAAAACACTTTATAGCGCGATTTGTTTCAGGATCTTTGTTGCTGCTTGTAACATGCTTGTAAAATACAGCTGTTTTGTACTAATCATGCTTGATGATGCCTTCATTTGTAAGTGGATGCTTATATGTCTGAGTGTGTACTTATTTTACGTTTAAGCAGGAGGTGGAAAGAATTCATAAAAATCTTGCACTATTCAGACGTTTTGCTTTTTCATCATGTATTTAGAAAAGAGAAGAAATCCACATATACCCAAGTATCATACCTTTATGATAACACAGTTTATTTCCCACCAAATTATGAATTCACAGTTTAGGATGTTTCCAATTCAACAGAAATCCCAAACGAAATGAAACTTCTGACCTACCTAGGGTCTACGAAGTCCACCTGTAGATTTGCTTTGGGAGAATGTGTATGGACCAAATGTACGTATACATCATGCCCCATTTTTGAGTTTAGTAGTTTATGAATTTTGTCAAATATCACCCTGTTTTAACACTCCTTGAGAGCATTGGAATATGTCTTGCCAGGTTTAATACAAGTAACACACAAATTGCAATTGAGCATGTATTTTACCAGCAATATGTAACCTTTGCTAGAGCCCAGGTATTCAACAGAATATTTATTAAAAATCTTTTTTCTTTTTCAAAATTCCTTCCTTGAGAGAATCACATTAAATAAACATCTACCAGTTAAGTGGTCGTTTGTCAACAAAATATTGGCTTACTTTATTACCATGAATTAAAAATGGTATTCCTCACGAAATAGCAGTTTGTTTGGGAGAAGGAAATTAAACTGGGTCCAGCCTGCATTTATTAGACTTGCAATTGAAACTCAGAATTATAATTGAAACTGTGATTTCTCGTTTTTTTGTGTGCTCTGGCGCAACCTGTGTGATTGTATGTACTTGAATGAAAAGAGAATAAAACAAAGAATCCTTTCAAACCAAAACCATCAGATAATTTGTCAGTGAATTTGTCGTAAACTATTTCACTGTTGGCTATTTCATGAAAAAACAATGCACTTTTTGAACAAAACATATAAAATGGAACTTTTATGACAATGGTAAATCATCAAAAATGGGGATTTCCCTAATAGAATACAAATTTATGCTGTTATCTGCTGTTTACCTATTTAAAGCTCGGTGTTGTCTTTAGGTTCCTAAATCCCCAAGTAATATTAAAGCTTCACTTTAGAAATTAAGTCCCAATGAGTTTGAAATCTTGATTCATTTGCTACACAATAAAAATAGGTATGCCAGAAATGTAAAGAAATGCAAAGGTGTGTTTTTAGAGTTCTTTGTTTTGATCAAAAGTTTTCACAGAACATGTTTTTCATATGTGCCAATTTCTGCCCTAAATCGCATACCTGAGAACGCTGCATGCACTGTCTTCTTTCTTGGACTTAATTGAAACTACATCAGCTTAAGTTTGGCATGAATAGAGGAATTGGAAAAGAACCTAGATGCAGCCAATGGCCTTCTACAAGACTCCTTCCTTTTTAGCCAACAGACTGGTATCAATCTCGGCTCGTTCTTTTTACCTAATCTTGTGAGAGAACAACATTTGAATATTTTGTGCACAGTGCTTAACCAACTTTATCCAAATAGCTTTCAAAAAGAAAAGGGTCATTCCATAAAAACAAATATAAGAGCTATAAGCTGGTTGTAGTGTGGTTAAACAGCTAGAACGAAATTGCTGCACAGAATTACAGATATGCTATTCCATTTGTTTTTCCAAATGTTAACACTTGCAACAGTATCAAACCATTGGGTAAATCAACAGAAATGTCACATTTTTGTCCCATACGTAACATCGGGTTTTCTTTCAATCACTTGATCATCACAAAGACAAGTCAAATAGAAATGCTGTGGGTACTCTCTACCCAGATGTCAACAGGAGAATGAAAAAAAACCCAAAATCTGTTTAAGTTTTCGATGGAACAAACGTCCATTCTGGGGCAAAGGGGGCATGAAAATCATGGCCTCCCTCATTTCTATAATTGGTTTAACCCTCCTATGGTTTAACAGCACAGATACGCATGAATGCCAACAGTCACTCTTATGCGTGTGTTTACTACATGGAACACAAATATGCACAAGTTCAATGAGCATATGGTTGGTTGCCAGCACAAAAGGACCCAGGGTCTTTGTGCAGTCCTCTTCACTGCACTTGGTTTACTGCACAATGATGCACATGAAACAGTGAAGCACAGTTGTTGGACAGCACAAAAGTGCAATCTTATATTCCTGTGAGGGACTGTTGGTGCAGTGCACCACACAACACAGCTGTGCTTCTTTGAGGTGTTTACCAAGTGACCCAAAGAGTGACTTCTGCATAGGAGGGTTAATCAGTTAAAAACTTTCCAAATTGAGACTTCTGCACTCTGCACCTTTTTTGCTAACAACTCTTCAAGTCTGATATTGTCAATGTCCTACGGACAATGTGCCATTTTCAGAAATGAATGCATTGCAAATATGCATCCAATCACACACTACTTTTCAACTTCTGCCCGCCTAAAGTACACGCTATACAAAAAAATAACTCTGAATACAAACTAAATATGCATGTGCATACGTAATTTACAGAAACATCCGTGTAGAAAAATGCCGATGCTTCTCATTCTGTGAAATATTGCACAACTCCAAGTCAAGCAAAATATATCATTTTGGGTAATTGGCAAAATATTACACAGAAACTATTTATGATTAATCTCTCATTCACAAAGTGTAATTAATTTATTTACGTTTTTACAAAGTTTACATCAGCCCTTTACAACTCCTTAAAGAGATTTTGTTTTGTACTTTTGCAGAGAGCGGGGACCACAGACAATCGTCCCAAAGACAGTCCTCTGTTGGTACTGCATTTGCATTCTTGTAAAGTGCATAATTATTAACCTTTCACCGGTACCCCATAATGTGCTTACTAACCTGTATCCTCAAGAAAAGACTTTTCTCCAGCTCTTTTCCAATCATGCCGGAGCAGAATTCACACCTCAGAGAAAATATTTGCTTAGCTTAGTGACAAATGGGAATTTCTATGTGCTTACACAAGAACACCAAGCAACACTATGAACTAGTGTTCACTGTAAGCAAAATCTTCTGCTATAAGGAAGCAGCTAAACTGTTAAACTGTTAGGCAGCTCCGTGAACTTGGGCCCTGAACAGTATTCTGAACTCCTATGGGGGAGTTTTTCATCATTAGGCAAATTAGAACCAAGCCATGGGGCCATTTCTCTGTCCCCACGATGTTTTGGGTTCCCACAATGGAGGTGTAATAAATGACAGGTGTTTGTCCCCACAACTACGGAACAAGTATGGCCAACTAGTCATGTGTACATGTAACATTGAGCCAGTATCCTGGTTTTATTGTGTGCAGTTACTTTCTACTTTAGGACACCTGTCAGATAAGAAATACTTGTTCCGTAGTTGTGGGGACAAACACTTGTCATTACGCTTCTTTTGTGGGGACCAAAACCATCGTGGGGCCAGAGAAATGGCCCCACAACTTGGTCCTAATCTGCATAACAAAGCAAATTGTCCCCTTAACCTGGTGAAGGCCTACCCTTAGCTGATGTCTGTATTAGGTTTTCCAAATCTCTGTTCCTTCTTGATTAGGCTTCAGACATGTTTGGCCGCTGAGTTGAACGCTTAAACTCGGTGTTCAGCTACATTAATAACCCAAACTGGGAGAATCTCCATCATTCCTTCCCACAGCAAATATTTGAAACTGATCCTGGAGAAAGATAAGGCCGAAGATGGAAACAAACCGCCTGATTTGGAAAAAGGTCTTTCTCTTCAAAGTCCATGCATAAGTACAGTGTAAGTGATAAAAAAATGCAAAAATATCTGTAATTGAAGGACTTTTCATCGACCCTACTGTCTCTCCACCAAGCTAAGAAATATTCCTCTCGTGTGATGATGCTAAGGTTTTGTACACATTCTGTTGAAACTATTCAATGTGCAAACCAGTGTATCCATCCTTCAGCTGCATAGTAGGCTGCACAGGACCAGCTGCACTTCCAGCCTGGAGTCCATAAAAATTGACACCCTGAAACCTTGTCAAGTCGATCAATAAATTTCATATCTTCCTTTACAACAGCTCGTAAGCAGATCATCTCGTCTCAGCAGTGGGTGATCTTCAGGTTGTAGAAGCTCCCATCTGTGTTCTCCCCTGCCTGCTGCCCGCCCCCCTCCGCCCCAAATGGAAGCTCCTCCGTGCTCTGATTGGCCAGCGTGCTGGATGAGCCGCCGGACCGCAGCTGGTTGATGCGCAGGTGGGGCAGCATCTGGGCCGAGGTGGCCGGGCTCATGGATGGGGTGGTGGAGCGGGAGGCAGAGACGTAAGAGTGGCCCAGGAGGCGGATCAGCTCTTCCTCGGAGGGTCCCCCCGGCAAGTTAGGATCAACTAAAGCAAGTAAACAAATCACACATTATTTCAATACTTCCAATTACAGCTCACCTCAAAATGAGTTTAGAGTCATAAGATGATGTTTTACAAAACTGCTCTTCAAAGGTCAGACTTGGAGAGAAAGCTGTACTTTTTGGAATGCTCAACTAAATCCACATATCACTTCCTGTGGTTTCTTTCAAATCAGGTATCTCTAAAGACATTTGGAGGCAATCTGCTTGCAACTATGTTTGATAGATGCCTGATTTTGCACTCTTTCTTGTTGTGATGTTTTGGAGCTCATCTTCTCCTTTCTGGAGTTGTGCCAATTTCTAAAGCTTTAAAACATTTAATCACGTTTCTTATCATAACAAAGTTCTTGGTCTAAACAGTGCAAAGATACATAGTTTTTGGCAACTCTGAAACACTCTCATTTTACAGTGTTACGTGAGGTCATTATACCGTCAAAATACATGCAGAGGCAAACAGTTTGTTTCTTAAATTAGCTTCACAAATTCAGTTTAAAATGTTCGTGAATGTCATAGGGTCAATTTGCTTGGCCTTTTTCTGCATGCAATTTATAACTAAATGCCAACTGACAATTTGGACTGTGACCTGAAGTATTTACATGATTGTGAGACCAGAACAACGACACGTTGAAACGATCAATGAGGATTGTGAGACCAGCACAATGAAATGATCTTAGCTAGCAACCAGACTATATCAACTATACCAACTAAGAGACAATCTCTAAGTGTGGTGCTCTGCTGTATATCTTTGACTTGGACCTGTTTTTATATCTCACAGTGACACCCAGAATCATACTCACCATTCTCCCCTTTGTTAGCCTTGACCAGATTGTCCAGGGCAGTGCTCAGATCCCACATCTGCAAGGTGAGAACAAAGAGCAGATAACAATTTCTTTAGACAGACAAAAAAAGGCAGAGAACTAGACAAACCGAAAGTTGACAGTTATCAAGAGTGCTTGGAGTGGTAAAATTGGACTGGAAGCCACTCAATTATACACATTTCATTTCGATCGTTTGATTGAATTTAGTTCCATTTCATTTAGTGGTCCTTAGAAAGGAAACCTATGCCATTACATGCAACACATCGGTTGATTTATATATCCGCACATCTAACTTTACAAAAATGCATCAATCAGCCAGTTTGGTATTCCAACCAAACATGCTAAATATGTGCACCCTAGGTCATACAGAAACAGCAATACACACAGCGTAGCTGTGCATTAGCTGAAATGCACACTTTATTCTTGAGTGACCTTGCCTTTTGAAATACACAACTGGCCCGAAGTCAAGCAAAATTTCTGAAACCTGCATTTTTTTTCTGAAACGAGACTATTTACCTAGTCTAAGATATTGGAGGGCCTGGCTCCTCTGAGTGGGGAAGTAACAGTCATTTTTATACAAAAGTCCTCCGCAATATTTTCAATGGAGGAATCTAATTGTTACAACTTGTCTTTTGGACCGACCTGTATGGATCCATTGGAGTGGCCAGTGAACAGGTATCGGCGTGGAGGGGAGCCCATACGACTAGAGCCTTCGCATTCATGGACACAGAAGGCTGTAATGGTGCTACTATCCACAGAACGAATTAGGCAGACCCTGCATTGAGACAGCATAATCCAAACACAGGGAGTTATGGGGTATGTTATCTGAGCTAGGATGGACTTGTATATGTATATATGATCCACTCTTTATGTCACAAAGAGTACTTCATCCGACAGAGGTGATTTCTTTCTTTGACAACAAAAGTACAGTGAACAGTACGATGTAGGTACATATGGCAGACACAGAGGGAAAATTACGAGCATTAATAACTACTATCTCAGTTCTGGCCTAAAAATGCCTATCCAAATCTAACCGGACTACACAGATGGCATGGGCTCTAGTTTGCACAGCTATGGCAGGACAGATTGTCAGGGTTGGCGTAAAAGTCACCTTTTGTCACCACACGTCATCCAGTCACAGGCACAAGTTGTGTTTGGACAAGTTGTG